GGCGGTGAGGTGGTGGGGCCGAGGGGGGCGGGTGGAGCCCCCGCCTCAGGGACCCGCCGGTGCGTTTGCAGCGCGTTCTGCTGGAGCCGTGTTTCAGCCCGCGTTTCCTTGTTGTCAGGAGCTGGCTGACGGCGCTCACGGCGCGTTTTGGAGAGGAAGCGTTTGGCGAAGGATTTCTGGCGGCGGTACACGTGGGCGGCGTTTCCCCGTGTGTCCCTTCCGCAGGAAGCGAGGGGGTCGTGACAGTGGTGCGAGGTGAAGGAGGTTAGTGTTTCTTTTTTTCGCCTCGTTGCCCTATTTCCTATTCCTGCATGCTTGTTTTCCTCAGTAGTGCCCATTTTGAAAAGAAAAATGCAGTCTTTCAACTGTGAAATATCTCAGGCTTTGCTCCTTTCTCATATACAAGTCTGTTGCTGACTTTGCTTGATACCCCCTGTAAAATGTCATCAGAGCATCCCTAATCGAAAGCTTTTAAAAACGACAATCCAAAGCTTTTTTTTTTTTTTTAAACCTATCATAAGCTTCCATTTCTAACTCAGTCACACGTAAGATTTCTAGTTGTTTCCACTTTTTGGTTGTTGCCACTGTGATGGTAAGCAAAAGGGATTAGATAACTGCATGGACGATAGCTCCATAAAGGACTAATAAAACAAGTCGGCAGATCTTCCATCTTACATCCCCAATTCAACCATTCTGGGTGCCTGGGAGCAGAGGGGAATGGCGGCTCTGCCCTCCCCAACAGTTTCTCCGGTTCCCAGTGTTGGAGGCAGACAGCTGGGCTGGGTGGGCCATCGCCTGGGTGGCCCTGCAGGGTATTTCATAGGTTCTTCTGAGAGTACCGAAGGGGGACACAGTGCTTTGTTGTATTTTGAAATACTTACTCAGTTTTACTGTTCTCTGAAAACTACTGCTGTGTCTTTGACTCTCTGTGGATAACAGCTTCACAGTTCGCATTGCATCGATACAACTCTGTTCGATGCATTTCCCCTACTGGCTTCCAGACGTGGGTTTAACTGAGGGAAAATCCCTCCAGACAGATGATGCTTTATGGCAGTACATACTGTTGGGGGAATTTCAGTGAAGACAGGGTTTGTCTTACCAGTACACAGAGAACTGGTATGACTAGCAAAATGGTATCTTGTGAATATCTAAAGGCTGCCACTCAAGAGATGTACATAAATGCTATCCATATGCCTACTTGGGTAACTAGGAAACCTAGGAGAGAGTCATGTCAAATTTCTCCTGATTTGAAACCTGAGCTGCTCTTATTCTGTAAGCTTGGCTGTGCAACTGAAGATACTACCAGTTTAGCAAGGAGATGGTGAATAGTAACCCAAGCAGGAGTATGGGGACTTACTGAGTTACCAGGGCCTGTAATCGGGCCTGCCTTCATGTCTTCACCGTTGCTCTGGACCAGAGCAACCAGAGCTAGAACAATTATACTTTCTCTGCTCCCGTTTCATTTTTCTCATCCCTAAGGGCATGGTCTAGGTGACACGAGTAAAAGACCCTTTCTGAACTTTCTGGAGGACTGTAGAGGATTGCTTCCTTCACTGAAAGTATAAATTAATAGAGTCTGCAGATTTCTATCATACCTTCTAAATGCAGACAAACACAAGACGGATTAAAGAATGAAAAGGCAAATTAAAGTTTTAAAAATCCTAAATAAATTCAGGAACTTGGAGCTTGTTTCATGTTGTGATTCTGTTTTGGTGGGTTTTTTTTTTTCATGTCATAATACTGCCACCATGCAGCTGCGCAACAGTGAAAATTGAGTGGTCCTTCAACTTGTGGTTCTGGGGGTTTTTGTTTTGTTCTGTTTTAATCTGTAATACCTCCAGCTGCTTTCGTTCAGCTTCAGAAGGGTCTCATCACTGGTGTTGCCTTGCTGTCCAGTCTGCTGGGTTTTTTTAAATTATTTTTTTTTAAAAAAAAAGGGCAGCACAGCATGTGCCTTGTGCAAGATTTGTTAAGGATTAGCACTGAGCTAATGTGAGGAGGGTGATAGTTGCCAGTATCACTTTGATATTTCTCTCTTCTGCATTCCCAAGAGAAGCTTCTGGTAATGATGTCCACATCAAACAGTACAGTATTTGAACTAATGTTTACCCCTTTCTTCCCTTTGCAGCTAGGGTGGCAAAACACAAAAGAACCTCAGGATGTCTGTCGTTCAGCGAGGGACGGCAACACTTCGTAAAGCAAAGAAAATCACTGTAAAAACATGTCTAGATAACCCCTTTGTTTTTCAGTGGAAAACCATAGATGGAGAAGATATGCATTTTATACTAGAGACCTTAGAAGAAAGGATTAAACATATTGGACTTAAAAAGATTGAGACTCCAAGAAAGAAAAAACGTTCCCTTACAAAAGCACAAATAGAAAGACAGTGTGATGCTAGCACCAATGAACTCCCTAAAGAAGAGGAAACAGAAGGCCATCAACAAAAACCAGGATGGACTGACATAAGTATCAGAAGACAGCTTGCTATTGGAGTTAATGAAGTTACAAAAGCATTGGAAAAAAATGACCTTCTTCTCTTGCTGGTGTGCAAGTCTGCAAAACCTGCCATGATCACATCACATCTTATTCAGCTGAGCGCAAGTCGAGCCACACCAGCAGGCCAGGTTCCCCGTCTCAGTGAAACAGTTGCACCACTTCTTGGCTTAACATCCATTTTAGCACTAGGCTTTAAAAAGCAGTCCGATAAATTTACCGAAGCAATAGAAGCAATAATTCCAAAGATACCAGCTTTGGAAGTGCCGTGGTTTCAGTACAGAACTGAAGAATCTGTGGCTTATGCACATACAGATTCTTCAGAAAATCAGGAACCCGAGCAGCTTGCAGAGGCGCTGGGGGATGAGCTCACAAGCCAGAAGCGGAAGCGTACGGAAAGCAATCAGCTTGATCTTTCAAATATAACTTTGCAGCCTTTGAAAATCAAGAAACTTGTTCCAAATCCAAATAAGATAAAGAAACCACCTCGCAAAAAGAAAAAAGCTTTTTCAGCGTAACTAATTTTAGTTTAGTCTTCATATTAAATGATTTTTTTAATGCATTATGGAGTACAGC